TTTGGCCCGGGCGACTCACGACCCAGGATTTGATCCCCGGATTTATACATAAAGTCATTTAGAGTTTGTAACAGAGATATTACTGGAAACGTTTGCGTTCTCAAAACTTGATTTCAGGAACTTGAATAATATTTTCAAGACTCAATTTCAGAAACTTCGTGACATTTCCCCTCAAATCGTGCTCGAAATCGGGTGTGGCTCTGGCGTTGTATCAGTGTTTTTAAACAAGGTATTCAGCTTTCTAGTTCTTGAATTCATCTACGAAAAGGCGCGGATTGAGGTTCAAAAACGACGATCATGATCTCATCGAGCCTTTCTGGATTTGTGGTCTTCGGCCCTGGCTACAAAACCGCGCAGGCTTTGATTCCCAATTTTGGTCAAATCAGCACAAGACTCGTGTAGAGGATGTCAGACTGATTGCTACTGACTATGAAATGTGACAAGGCCTCTTCCAGTTATAGTATCAAGAGAAAAAGCTGGCACTTCAATGGTGACTCATACTTGCCAGTCCGCGGGATACCTTTCTGGTCAGCGAAAACTATCTCCTCTGACAACATTCGGTTCCAGCAAGGCATCAGAACACCAGTGAAGCGCCAGAATGTTTTCTCGCTGTTACCAGAGTATCGCAATTTTGTCCTCTTTACAATGAGGATTTTGTCTACTTTGGAATGCTTCCAAGTGAAATTTGAACCTTGAATTAGATATTGCGCTACAACAATAAAGGATAAAAGATAAAGCATTTGCCGTTGATCAATCCCTTTTTGGGATGCGGCACGCATTCTACTTCCATTTGTACATTCGTAGTGGCGTTTGAATGCGATGTGGCCTATACAATGACTTGCGGGGGCCAGCCGATGTACAAGTCAGTGTTTTTATCCTCCCAGACAAGTCTGGTACCAATTAACCGACCCCGGAGGGATGGAAGGCTTGGTTGGCCCGGGCGACTCACGACCCAGGATTTGATCCCCGGACCGCTCGCGTGGTAAGCGTGCCACTTGCCACTACACCACTTCCGCCTCGCTAACACTGCAACAATGCCCATCGAATTTAGATTCTTGCATTCGAGATGTTGTAGTTCATGGCACGCATTGGCACCATGAATCCATACATGAATAACGGAAGCGGATTCACTGAGCGATGAGGAATGCGCGAAAGCTGGTCCGAATTGTAGATTAGCCATTGCTGTTACTTGGTTCGTCAAAAACACCGGAAATGCAGTTAAAGCGTGGTCTGCAAGACGAGTGCCTTTGCACGCACGACATCTAACGAACCCGATTGGCTTTGTTCCGCGTACATTTGGATGGCTATGGGTTCCCCGCAGCAGTTCAAATGTTTTTGGGATTTGAAATGTTGAAAAATTGACAACCCCCACCTTTTTGACATTGATTGCTTAGCTGTTTTCCTGAATTTGATGATTCAATTAGAGCTATGTGATGGTTCACGAAGGAATCCGCTCTTCAATATAAAATACAATTTTCCGCTTGAACTGCATAAACCTGTGAACTTATGAGAAAGCAGAAGGTCGTAACTTCCAACTCTGTTCCATTTTTGCACGAAGTTCTCTATGAAAAGAAGGATTTGTTGGAAGTGGGATAGCTCGACGGACAAGAAGTTTTCCACAGTACTTGGGCAAAAATCTTCAGGAGGGCCATTGTTGTTATTCTGAATCTATCAAGCAATAAAAATAACATTCAAAAGAGCAGATTTAGTTTACAGCCAATTCACTCATTTTCTGGTTGATTGCTTGTGCAACGTTTTATGGCTCTTGAAACACTCGAAAACTGGCGCATGCTATTTTTTTCTCGTTGATATTTCCGTAGGAACTATTTTTCTAGTCGAGTACTTCTCAGAAATCATGCATGTCAGGAAATTTCCAAATCTTTTACCCATTGCAATTCGATCTCCCTTAATAAAAATCGAAGTCGTTTTGCAACGATTTGACTTCTGTTTCTGCGTCAAACGCACCATAAGGTGAAAGTACGCGTCCCATAGCATGCTTCTTCATGCGTCCTTGTCAGAAGGGTTATACAATACATAGCAAGCCCAGTTAGTGTGTGGCAGATTTGCATGAGGAAATTGCTGCGACTCCTTGCTTGACCATGCTGGGAGAGACTGGTTGGGCTGGATAAGATTGGTGCAGGAACCGCCGATATTATGTTTTGCTAACGACCACCCCCTTTGCGCCCAACGCCCCATTTTCGTTGAGAGGGTAGATCTTGACAATGCTGACAGCTGTTCAACAACTCTTGGAACCTAGCATACCACTCTCTTCTGGAAATTTTCAGTCGAAAACAGTTAACGGCGCTCTTGGATTTGATTCCTTTCGAAATTCCCGAGAGGATTCACTTATTGCACCGGATGATGTTTCCCAAATCCTGTAAGATAACTCCAACGCTTAATGCTCTCCTAGAACCGCTCGAGATTGTTTTATCTCCCCTCGGACAATTGCTCCAACACAGAACCCCTAATTAGAAGAAGCTCCTTGGCTTATTCAATCCCAAGTTTCGTGGTAATAACCGGATCATCTGCTTAACTCGAAGCATAAAAAATTTTGTCAGTAAAAATCCTTTTCATGAGGTGATAGTTTGGAGATGAATGTTCTCATTGCAGCAAAGGCTCCGAATCTCAAATGCATGCAATATCCCATTGCAATTTCACTTAACAATTTGATTCGCAAAACTTTGCCGGCGCTTCGATGTTAATCGTACCTCCCATTGGCTTTCACGCGACTACACAAACCCAGATTGCCCTAGCGAATGTACAAGAAACCGTTGCCGACATGCGAAAGAGTTGACATTGAGTCCGTCCCGGACAGATCCTATAATGATGGGCTTTCGAATCATCTCGAGTACGCTTTGCATAGCTCTATCACAGTCATTGAAGGGTTCGACTTCATTGAAACATCAACATCAGGCAGATTTTCCTAATAGCGGCGTTTGAATTGAGGAGGTGGAATTACTGGCATCAGATACCAGGACCACGGGTCGAAATGGCCATTTTTCATGGGCTAAAAGGCTTAGGAATGATTTTCGTTGACCAACTGCAATCTCCCAAATTTATGACCAGCGCCTCGTTTTGAACCGTGCGTCAAATCCCTTTGAACATAAGAAAGAGCGGCCGTCGAATGCAGACCAACACACCTACAAACGACCGAACGGCCTCCACAATAATGTCATTTTTCTACAATGGATGATTCTGCCGTTGCAGTTGTTATTCTTTATTGTAACGACTGTCACAAGCTTATCATTTACCAAGAATCAGGATATACTATGAATCATTACTACCCTATTTACATGGAGGCATCGTCACTTGTTTGGTGTATGTTTGTGTGTTGCCGATGTGGTCTTGCATCCGAACGCTCCTCTCAACTTGTTCGGAAGGGAAAAGGGATATGAATTCTGCCACAAAGGCAGCGCTAAGGGAGCCGGTTGTCGCCTTCAACAATTCGGACGAGATCGAGGGACGAATTTCTTGAGAAGTTTGCTGCTTTCAAAAGTGGCTCCGTGGGTTGAGCACATATACCATGCTCATTGGTTTCGAAATTGCTAGACGCTGCGCCTTAGACGGCCGACCACCGTAAAATTACGACAACCTCATGACAATCTGTTTCCCAAGCATGTGACCGCCCTAAAATAGCGCCTTGTGAAGCAATTTTTACTCGGGACCAATTTCCTCGTGTTTTTGCAGGGCTTGCAGCACGGTTAGTGCCCCTTAATGCCTGGATTGAATGTGCTAGAGCCTGGCTACCAAGAACGCAAAGCACAAAAATCTGTAAGAAGAACTCTGAACTCTCATAACCCTCCGTCTCGTGATAACTGTAAGGGCGACGCTAACGTCACCGTTTCCCTGTTGCGCTTCATAAATACGTTGCTGCAATCGGAAATGCTTGGAGCCATAAATCTAAGCTTTACGACGTATAGTCGATGAAGCAATTATTTTTCCAATTGGTCAGCCATGCCCATTGCAAAACCAATCCATTTGTTGTCGGAAAACCCGTCATCTAGTACTTCTGTTCAACACATATAATAGATCACTGCTGTTCAAAGTACGTGAATACAGCCACCCTAAAATTTGTCGAAAAGTTCAAGAGTTCTGAAAAACTCTCCGGATAGAAAATGTGACAAATTTCATGGCGAGTTCAGATATCAACACAAAAATTCATGTCGAAAACACCTAAAAAATTTTGTGCTTATTTTTTCAGAAGAGGTCGATTTTCCTATGTTCAAAAATGATACAGCCACCCCGTGTTTCTTCGTTGAAATTCATTTTTGCTTTTTTTTTTCTGAAAAGAGCTTAAAGGCAAAAAAGGACCAAGTAGTCACGCAAAAATTGAGTCAAAGCTCCAATACGGTTAACAATCTTTTCTGGAATCCTGTAGGTTATGGAACAACGAAGAGCTCTGGATGTTCATCATTGCTTTTTGGTCAATTTAAACTTCGCATTTTGGGGAAACATTTCAATTTCATCGAACAGTGCCCGGAATTCCAGTCTTCTTTCAGAATTAAACTTTCAATGGATATTGTTTGGGATGTGTTGAAGATTTTCCGAGGTCATTCTTCAATGGAGAATCAAAGAAACCTTGTTTGTGAAAAGAAATTCTCTCGAAAACTGAGAGACATTTTTTGCTCGAAAGTGTAGCCACGTCCACTGGAGCAAGATCAGTTCTTTTGTCTGTTATGTCTTACTTTCTGTCTGCGTTTCTCTCAATGTTTTTCGCTTCATAGGAGTCTAATGAAAGGAAAAACCCTTAATGAGGAAGGAAAAACTCGAAAAGAAAGTAAACAGAAAGTAAGACACAACAGACAAAAGAACTGATCTTGCTCCAGTGGACGTGGCTACACTTTCGAGCAAAAAATGTCTCAGTTTTCGAGAGAATTTCTTTTCCACAAACAAGGTTTCTTTGATTCTCCATTGAGGAATGACCTCGGAAAATCTTCAACTCATTCCAAACAATATCCATTGAGTAGTTCCTGAACGTTTTAATTCTGAAGAAACTGGAATCCTGCAAAAACAATGAACGAACCCTCCCAGAGCTCTTTAACTGTTTCCAGTAATCACAAGGATTCCAAGTAAAAGATTGTTACCCGTGTTGGACTCTCCACCCTCATTGTTGACTGTAATGACTGCTTGACGACTCCTGGTCCTTTTTTGCTACAGCTCACCTTTTCAGAAAAAAAAGCAAAAATGAATTTCAACGAAGAAACACGGGGTGGCTGTATCATTTTTGAACATAGGAAAATCGACCTCTTCTGAAAAAATAAGCACAAAATTTTTAGCGTTTTTCAACATGGATTTTTGTGTTGATATCTGAACTCGCCATGAAATTTGTCACATTTTCTATCCGGACAGTTTTTCAGAAACTCTATGAACTTTGAGTTTTCGACAACTTAGGTGCTGGACTCATATAAACGCAGTGTATATCCTTTCTAGCGGGCGGTTTAAAATAGCTGTTCCTCTTGTATTCCTTCATATTTCCATCGACTTCGAGTAAATCCCATTAACTTGCTATATCATACGTGTGGGGTGAGGGGTTGAAGGGGGAGCCGAAATATACCGCAGAATAGCTTACATCTTCCACATTCTCGACACTGAATAACCGCGCAAGTCTAAGACTTCAAAACCTCTGAACTTCCCTGATGAGAAGAGGACCCATTAACGGATTATCACTCAACTGCACAATGCCCTACACACGCGCTTCAGAAGAGCCCCTGCCATCCAGGAACATCCATCGCAAGGTTCGCGCCCATGCGTTTCGGGTCGTTGAGCCTGGACGAGTTTCCTGACCCCTTACGACATGTCTAAAGTGTCCGATCGTGCACGTGTCATTACCTTCTAACGGAAACAGTGAACCTTATAAAACAAGTGGTATAGCCCTGCTGAGCAGTTTAGTGCCTTTCTGAGCTCGGCGGCGGTAAACGGATGACTTCCCTTTTGAAGGCGGTGAAGTGGTGTGAACAGTAGACAGGAGCTCCGCTTATGGAGGGAGGACATATCAAGATTATTTGGCAGTAAAACTTCTGAAAGAAACAAGAAGTATTGAAATTCATTCCCAATAGTCCTTCCCCTCGTGTGTGTTCTTCTTGTAATCAAGGAGGACGCCCTTGAAATATCTTCGTTTTCGCCCTGACCAAAGATAATCTCATTGAAGTGTGTCTCCAGTGTCCGCAGCACAGAGTACATTAACCCATGCACACCTTTTTTATTCAAAATTTGTTTAGAACCTGCATTTTCCTAATTGTGGGATGTGGAGTGTGACAGAGGTGGATCCCACGTAGCCACTCAATGATTGGTACGTTGATCGGGAAGGTCTTTCAGTGGGTGCCAAGCTTTTTCAAAAAACGGACCAACCTTTGGCTGACAGCGGCAACGTGCAGGGAACCACAAAACATTGATTGAATTTTTCTAATCGGCCCTCTGAATACCAAAAAAAAAGAGGGTCCCTGGTTCGATTCCTTGTGACAAACTTTTGCATTTCGTGTTGACGTGGTTACTGACGGTCCTAATTATGAATATGGCATTCATGCTAACTCCATTTTGCGCGAATTTTGAAACGTCAACTCGAAATGCAAAAATTTGTCACCACGAGGAATCGAACTAGGGACCCCCTTTTCTGGTATTCAGAGGGCCGTTCAGGAAAAATTAACCATGGTTCTGTGGTTCCCGCATGTGCCCCTATATCATGCAAAAGACCGTTTTCAAAAAGCTTGGCACGCCCTGAAAGACCTTCCTGGTGAGAGCCTGGTCTAAGGTAAGCTCTCTAAGTGCAGCTCTCCTCTCAATTGTGAGTATCGCTTTCAGATAGGTTTGTATATAGTAGGCTCTCATGAATATGAAAAGGGTTGCAACTAACAAGTAATTCAATATATCAGTACAATTGGGGTGTTGTTGGAGTGCTGCATAGATTTCCTTAACTGTTGTTTTACAGAACAAAGTGGATATACTTCTATTCAATCCACCTTATGTACCGACAGATGAAGAACCGAAAAGCGACCTTGTGAGTCAGAAGTTTTATTATTTTCTGCTCATATCGACACACGGTATTGATGGAAATAGAAAATTGTAAAAGTTGTGCGATTGTTAAGTAAAAGCAAGTATAAAGAATTCGTGAGCCTTCTATGCGAACTCTCAAAACTCGACGTTTCTCACTCCTGATAAGTCAGATTTGGATGAACAGTAGAAGAATCTTGGCTTCGGGTAACAGGGTAGAAAGTGGATCCATTACAAAGCAACAGCCAGAACTGCGCCACCCCACTGTTTTTCACAATATTTATGAACATATTTTTCACTCCCACGGATGTAGGACAGGCGTTAATTTTTTATTTTGAAAAATTAATACAATGCTGGGCGAATTGAATTAGACGTGGTGGAATTTTTGAAGTTTTGAAATTTTCAAACGAAGTGAGAAATAGTGGTGGAATTTCGCAAATGTTTAACTATGTGGCACAACTATACTCTACTTCTTGACAGTGATCTGCCACCAACACGGAAGTCCTTTAACACCACGGAATACAAAGTCCACGTCGATTGCCATATTGGATTTTTGAGCATAGTTTGGAAATAAATTCTCATGTGCTATACTT